AGTTCCTTTGGCGCTGGTTTTTGTGTAGTAACTATTCCCACTTGTCCTTGCAGATCTAGTCCCATGATGCATCTGGTCTTGCATTCTGATACAAGGAAGGTAGCGCCTTTTACCTCCCAGCCCGCCGACCGAAGATTGGTCTTTAGGGCTCCCAGTATACTGATCGGTTGTTTGTTGTAATCAACGAATTTGGTTTGTAAATTCAGTTTTTCTGACGGAATGAATCTTACTTTGTTTGATTTTTCCATAATTTCCTTCGTTGTCGCCCAATTGAGAAATGAAACTGGACTTCCCGTGTCCACTGTTAGTTGTATTAGTTGGTTATCAATTCGTACCATGGCCTTTAGTGATTTTACTCGTTTCAAAGTTGGATCTCGAATCGAGTCTATTTTCTGAACTCGTATCATTTCTGCATTTGAATTGTTCTTCGTTTCATTGATTCGATCTTTCACATATTTTGAAACTCTCTCGTTTTCCGGTTGATAAGTTTGTATCGACATAACTTCAACCTCACTACATGACCCCATTCTTTCACTTATCTGGTCGCATTCCTCTACTGATCCTTCCGAGTCTTCCGCAACTTCGCTTACTTGTTGGGATCTGCACATTTTTGCAAAGTGATTGGGTTTACCACAGTTCTTACAAGTTTTCACCATCGCTGTACAAATTTTCAGATGTCCTTGATCAAATGGCCTTCCACATCTGTTACATGGTTTTGTTTTCGTGCTTTGATTCTTGTTATTATTTTGTCTTTTATTCGATTCCTTTCTGTTTTGATTCTTTGTTGTCCCTGACAAATTTCGAACTGCCATTACAGGTTCTTGTTTTATTCTCACACCCGAAGTGTAATTGTTACTTGATCCTCCTGTAGCCGCCGCATTTGTCTTCTGGAACGCCATTGTGGTTAACTTGCTGTGTTCGAATTTTATCGCCCTTTTCAGAACCTCTTCCGGGTCTAGGGTCTCGAATGTCAACGTTTGTCCTGCAAGGTCATGTTTTTCATTTTTGAAATAAATAAATCACGGAATATTTCATTTTCCAATGTTCCCAGTTCTGATCGGGCTGCTTGTGCAGTCAACGCTGCGTGAAATGATTCCAGAGATTCTCCAGATTCTTGCATTCTCGTAAACAGCTTGTATCGTTCGTATGTTACACATTTCACCTTTTGGAACGAAACTTCTGCCAGTTCTGTAATTTCCCTGAACGTCATTTTCGATATTTCAGCATGTGGGTTCTTTTGTAGGAATCGTTTCTTTCCTTCTGTACCCAAAGAAAAAAATAATCTGGACACCAATTTCTTTTGTACTTCGTTCTAGAAAACATTGTGTCCGACTCGTGGGCCCCTTGTCCTTCTCTCTTCATTCTCCAATAGTACTCTATCCCTTGCGAGCTTGTCTCTAAGAGTCCTTGCGTTCCTCGCATCTTCATTCTCTCCGTCTCGGGGTGTTTCTGGACGAGGGGCTGGTTCCTCTAGCATGTCTTTTGGTTCTTCCAAAATAATCTCTGGGTTCACATTTTCTTTAACCGTAACCGCCATGAGAAATTGTTCGAACCAGATTTTAAATTGCCACGAAGGGTCTAGATTCGCTGACGCCCAAAATACCGGGATTCCCATATCCGTTCTGTTATCTTGAGCTGCGAATCCTGCTGGCTGCGCCATGTGATATACGTTGCGATATAAATTGAAAACAAGTTGTAATTCAATACTGTATTCGGAATATTGAATTTAGGTTTTCTTTTTTCTTTGTTTTTGGTATTAGTTACTGAGATCTAGATCAGTGCTGAAAAACTCTGATCTCTCATTAGTCTCAATGTCATCACACACTGTGACCTTGAGTATACCATAAAAGCAATAAGTAAGCACCGTAGGTTGGTTGTACATACATAAACAATTACTGCTACTGCAGTAGCGGTATGACAGGCAGAAATTCATTCGAAATACACCCCGCGTATTGCAATTAAGTACTGAACTTGGTTAACAAATCATCGAGATCCTAGAAAACTTTACCCTGTTATTGGATAATTATCTAGTCAAAATATCAGAATCCATCAATTCTCGGCGATAACAAAAATAAAGTGAAACTTGTGAAAAAAAAAAAAAACAGTTACAAGAGTTAGAGTTAGCCTTAGAGACAACCAGTAAAGAAAGAGAAAAAATTCCATGCCTCTTGATGGAAGATCTTATCTACCAGGGAAGGAGCATCACCATTCGAACCATCGCGCAGCAATTCAAGTAGATATAACAACTCATGCAGCTCAAAAAACAAAGTCAATGAAATAGCACAAACATCATGCAATGAAGTTTGCCACGTTCTTTGGAGGCAGTGACTTAAGTCATAAACAAACACCGTTTGTGTTACTGGAAACTGAGAACCAAATCTGCATACTCCATATTGTTTCGAAACGCCCGGAACAAAAAACGAAAACCATTTACCAGTGAACCTGCTTTATTTATGAACTGACCCCCCCTCCCAAAAAATAAATATATATTCAGGTAGTTAAGCAGAACTCAGGAGTATGTTACGCAAAACTGATGAATCATATTTTCAATTAAAAAAATTAGACAAACAAATTATACACTATAAAAATTAAGCCAACACAGTTGGAAAATTGTCATAAAGTTTTTTAGAATTCTTTTTTCAAACTTGTCAATAATCTTGATCATTCCCCTCATTTCATAAAACTTAACCACTTAGAGAAAACTGGGCAATTTTTTTGTTCCGATGGAAAATATCGAACACAAAATCACAAAAAACTCGTGAATTGCGCTTCACCTTGGTTGTTTCTGAAAAACTAAGGAGGAAGGACTTTTTTGAGAAGTTGGATTTTTCCCACAGACGTAACTGCTTTGTTATGAGGTTGTAATGTACTTCAGGCTTAAACAGGGGAACTTTTCTCAACCCTTCAAAGTTATTGAGCTCAAAATCTCAGATTTCAGATGGCAGTTTTCGAGACAAGTCGAAAAATTGCAAAAAACGGTCAAAAATCTCAACTCAAAAAAATCGAAAATTTGGCTTTTCCCAAAGTCATAATTTTTGTGTAAGAAAATGTGGGCGAACCACTCAAACAGAGTAGCTTCCCACAACACGTTCTACCCATTGAAACCAAAATCTCAGATTTGGGAGAGTAGTTTTCGAGGAAACTAAAAAAGTTCCCAAAAATGGTCAAAAAATCGAAAATTTGACTTTTTTTGAGGGCCATAATTTTTGTGTAGAAAACTTGGGCGTAGACGCTTGCGCAGGAGATCTTCCCACCAGAACCTGTCCTTTTGATTGAAATCAAAATCTCAGATTTTGGAGGGTAGTTTAGGAGATAATGTAGAAAAAATAAACAAAAATAAGGGTCAAAAATTCGAAAGCTGTAGAAAGTGAGGTAGGTAAAAGAGACAAGGGAATTGAGCAGACATACAGGAAAGTGAGTCGAATTCTCATTGGCACCACGTTTTTGAAAATCGGTTGAGCAGTTTTTGAAAAAAAAAATTATTTTTTTGAAAAAAGGGAAAAAATTTTCCAAATCGTCTCAAAAACAAAGAAAAATAAAAAAACCCGACCCCATACATTTTCACAAAACCTGTTTTTATCAAACAAGAAATTAGCGCAAGCGAGCTCTTTATGCTAGAAAATAGCTGAATCATTTAAAAAGCAGTTCTCGGGAATAAATCATAAGTTGCGCAAAACTGATGAATCATGCTTTGAATTAAAAACAAGTTATGGCAAACTAAGTATACGCAAAAAAATAAAGCCACAGAGAATTAGAAAATGTCATTGCTTTTATTTAAATTCAATTTTCGAATATTGTCAATAATCTTTATCATTCCCACTCAATTCAGAGAACTGACACAACCAGAGAAAACTGGGTGATTTTCTTGTTCCGATGGGAAATCTCGAATACAAATTCACTTGCGAGCTAATTGCATTCACATTGTTTTGCGCCCTTTATACTTTCATAAAAAAATAGATGAGTGCCTATAACCTAAGCCTAGATAAAGGCCTTCATCTCTTCTAAACCTAGATAAAAGCCTTCAAAAACCTATTCATCTCAATAACAATTGAACAATTTTCCCTCAATGAGTCCCGTCATATGCCCCAAAAAATAATAACTAGGCGAGAAAATTCATCTGATATGGTTTTTAATAGAAAAGAAAGGCGACGCTAGACAAGCAACATATTCACATGACATTGACCTCGGATTGCGCTATACTGCGAAGGTGCAAATCTTTTGAAAATTGAGTGTACAGTTACACGACTTCATTTTTTCTTCTGAAAAAGTTGATTAGAATGGTTTTAAATGGAGAAAGTCGAGTACCTCTTACCAATTCCGATCGAAGCTATGATTTTAAATATCTTGTCATTACTTTGTAAAAATGACTACATGTAAACATGCTACTTGTCTCACGATTGGAAAAATTTTCACATACCACTTAAAAATGCTTCGGGAAACACATTCAATTTGGATATCTTCAAGTTTCTGAATTTCTTTTGGTTCGTACTCACAGCGCCAAAAAGTAAAGCTTTTCACAACGCCGAAAAATAAAAAGCTTTTCATAGCGACGAAAATCAAAAAGCTATTCACAGCGCCGAACATTTATTCTTCCAAATTATACATAATTGAAAAGAATATAAATAACTGCGGCAAAAATTTCCGACATCACAGTTCAGTATTCGTTCAAATTTCAGTAAAACAATCATTTTCTGTTTTGTGTTACTCAGAAATGTATTTAAAACAATCATTTTGCGCGGTGAATAGCTATTTAATTTTCGGCGCTGAGAATACCTTTATAATTGTCGGCGTTGTGGATAAATTTGTTATTTACGCCGTTGTGTGGGAATACACCGTTTTTTTACCAGTCAATCATTTAAGTGAGAGTCTTTTTAATTAGAGCACTCAGTGCCATAACTTTCTTAATGCCATAGCTTTCTTAATTAGAGCACTTAACGCTCATTTTTCATACTCTTTCGAGCAATCAAATGGTTTTCATTTTCTGATTTTGGAAAACTAACCTCGTCCATATGACCAATGGAGCATTCAGTGAAGCAGCAGCTGATGCGATCAGCAAAATGAAGACGCTTATCTCAAACATGGCTTTCTAAAACAAAAAAAAATCGTTTAAAATTAAAATGGGCCCTTACATCATGCAACGCTACTTGCACAGGTAATCAGAAGGTCAAAAGTATCATAGTAACCGAGGTTACAGTCATGAGTCCCTTCATCATGTATTCCAGTCAAAATCCTTGGAATTTTCTAGATATGGAAGTGATAATGATAAAAGAAGATGACAAGTGTTTAAGTCCTTTTCAATTAAAATCGATACGGGTTACGTTTCTTCAATAAGAACACGCAACTCGACACGAGATACTATAATATACAAGTGTTACAAATAAAAAAATTTCGTCGAAAGTTATTTTGTCATTTATTGTTCCGAGTACGCAAGCGGCGTTCGCAATCTGTATTGCCAGGGAGATTCTCTGTTTTAAAAAGCTGCCTGCTCTGGGTTCCTCAGTGCATATGCTTAGGTTCTTACAAAGCTTGCTCAAAAAAACTTCTGTGCTGGGGCCGGCCGCGCCCTGAATTTCAAAAGCTAGCGGTTGAAAAAGATATCCATAATTTACAAGATCTTTATACTTGTCAATTTTTCGCTCTTCCGCTTCAGCGGCAGCCGTACCAGGGTTACAAACAGACCCGCATTAATCCTACAAGGAGCTAAGGAGTCTACTACCGTTACATCCCACAAGAGCTGCTTACCATCAACACATGGAACGAGCGTCAAACCGTCTGGTCGCTTCTGATCGGTCCTGTAGAGGTGTCGTGGTTCTAAAACAGACGGAATGTGAGTAGATGATAGACTCTGCTTTATAAGGGCATTCAGGTTTGAATGCCTAGAGAATCTCCCTGCACTTTTGAGGCAAGAAAGACCATGCCACAGGTTGGATAGGGCCGTACCGACGCTATATAAATACATCGGCAAAATTTTATGAATAAATCAAGTCGATTTTAATGCATCCAGAGAATTGTCATTTAAAATCGACCCTCCTCGATTATAGCTCAGATAGAATTGTCTATGCTGGATGTATTTTTAAGATTTTTGCACCCCTAAGGCAGAGGATTGCACTCCTCAGAAGTGCAAAACTTATTTTTGTTCTTATAGTTTATTGTGCCTGAGTATGATTCGTTCCGTTTTTCGCTTAGTTTCTCTGCTAGTTTCTGAACGGTTTTTGTAGAGCCTGGTGCTGCTCCTCCGGTACACGCAAAAAATAGTGGAACAAAGCTGCTGTGTTCCAAATCCAAATCCAAATCTCTTGATAACCTTTTAGTGATATATCTAAAGTTTTGATTGGTTGAATTTTTAAAATTTTTAAGTAATGATGTGTATGACATTTTTAATGATCTTTAATCATTTTGTACAGATAGTTTAGAATTTTTAAAACCTGAAAATGCACAAAAATATGCGAAAACGTTTGTCTGAATATACGATTTTAACGTATTCTCAAAACTCTTAACTTATCTACAATTCTTGGAAAAGTTTACTTTTTGTTTTCTCCTACCATTTCTTGCAACTATTTGTCTTTTTCAAAAATTATTATCACAAATCTGAGTCTGGGTTCAATCGAAATTACAGGCATCGTGAATCTTTTACTGCGTGATCAGTTATGTTGAAATTCTTAACAGCAAAAGCTTTGATTCTCGGAAAAGTCAAATTTTATGTCTTTGTGGAGTCGGGTTTTTGGCCCTTGCAGTCTGATTTATGGCATCAAGGGTTGAATTGAACTTACTGGTTGCTGAAAGCCTACTTTAAAACTTTTTTTTTGGAAAGAAGTAATTGCTTTCCAGTAAGTTTTGAAATGTTGACTGTTTTGATTGACGCTTTCCTCTTTCTAGCTACTCATATTCTAAAATATCAATTGAAACCGTTGTTAATTCAAAATGTTTATGGCATCAGAGTTGCTAAAAAGTCAGTTCTTTATAGTCCCTCACCATATACTGTCTCTGGGGGCCGAGCCTCCGCTTCCGTGATTTCTCTGTAATAACATCGTTATTACTCCCAATTCGTGGCACTGGAGGATACTGCTCTTTACTCCTTCCCCACTGAAGCCTCCTTTCCGCCTGTCGTCTCTAATTAGATGTCTTATCGTGCGTGATCGTCACGATAACAGGCTTCAATTTTTCTTTCGTTCCCGTTCGACTAGTTTTCACTATTTCAGCTGTTGTTCTCTTTTCTTTTGTTTTCGGCTCAAAATGGCCGTTTTAGCATTTCTCAAAAATGTGACGTCACAATTCGAGTTTTTGAAAATTAAAAATTCCAGAATTTTTTGACCCTCCTTTTTACTAATAAATGATCGTTAAGAACTCCAATTCTATTCTCGCGTTGTGCCGGAAGGTTAGGCTGTGCCCTTCTGGCAGAATGGCACCTACTCCCCGGACAGTCCCCATCAATGTCCCCATTGATCACATAACACCGGGTTATCATCAAGTAGTGTTCCAGTTCTCTAAAATCAACCTTACAAATCGCATTAGAAAATGAAATTTATCTGCTCCACCTCAACTCACTACGTGTCACAAATGGCATCATATTACATCTCACTGCCTTTCAACTTTTTAACAAAATTTGCACCATGAGGAGTGTCCTAGATAAAATTTCTTTTCTGACTACTTACGTCATCTCGCCATAAAATTTCTTTTCACACTCGCTTGATTAAAAGTTTGGGACGTGGCACGGCCACGCACCCGTTAAAAATAACCTAATCTCCCTCACCAAGTGTAATCAGTTATTTATGATGTCGTCCTCGATATTAAAACTAAGAAACTCTTGCGGCTAGGAAAGGTAATGAGGTACTCACCCTCTTCGAGCGAGCGTACCCAAACCTACCAGGTCGCCACACAGTGAACACGTGTCTTACACAGGTTAAAAACTTCAGGAGTGTTTAATTAGGTAAATATACTCACCTATGCTCTCTCTATATATAAATAGCATCAACTAAAATTTTCATTGACATTTAACAATTGCAACAAATTTACCAATTCTCACAGTCTGGTTTGACCAAACTATAGCAAAACAAAAAGTTTTTTAGTTTCAATAATCAAACTTGGTTGGTTGGTATAAGTTTTAGCACAATAAGACAATCAAGTTTTTCTCCTCTTCTCACTCTCATCTTTTGTTAAGTCTTCGTCACTCCATTGCCTCTTGCCCTTGGTCTTCGTTCTTACTGTCTTCTAGGACTTTCTCCAGCATGTCCACGGGGTTGCGGGCCGTGCCCCAACTCTTGCTCTAACAGCCTCGGTTTGCAACAAGGTAGCAAGTCCACCTTCACCATTTGCTCCCGGTTCCTGCAAAAGCTGTTGTGCAGACACAGGCTCACATTCCGTTCTAGGTCAGCTCGTAAGACCTCTCTCTTTTCTGTTTCAGTAACACAAGGCGCTCCAGCCACCCGCTTCACCGCCCTGGTGACAGCGTTTCTGTGCATTAAGAATGCTCTTTAATAGGCTCCCTGTCCTATATCTAGCTGGAAGGATTGATAGGCTTCGCGCGTTCATACATCCATGATGTCATCACTGCACGGAACCAAAGCATCAACCTTTGCCTTGACCATATCCTCTCAATGGCTTTGCGTATCCTCAGAACCTTGCAGGTGGTTCTGAAAATATCTAAGTTGAGGTTCACCTTCACGTTGCTTATTTGCTCAGGTGTCGGCACGGCCGTCTCCTACTCACTTGAGCCCGCGTTAGCTTCCAACCATCTCACCACCAGCATGGCACTAACCACCACGATTGACACTTGCCGATTTTGATCGGGCAACCCCGTGGAATACAACTCCTCCACGTCACACACTAACACCAGATTCCCGCGTTTGGGGTACCACAACGTCTGCGACAGGCAGTGGCAAGGATACTCCCCATGGGTCATCAGTAGGTTCCTGCGGGTCCGATACCCTGAAGCTCCCAGCAACAATTCCACTTCTATCATAATCCTGTGTACATTGTCCTTCTCATCCATGGTGGGGAATTTGGTGGGCAACGCTTCGCTCGCCTTCTTCGTTTGGAACTCACTCACATTACCCTCACTCAACATCATGAAATCTTCACCCACTACGTCCCGCAACTCGCCTTCAGATCTCTGCGGCACGGCCCGAATGATCTTCGTCAGTAAATAATATGACCTTTCCGACATCCTGGCGAACCTCACGCAATTTGGCACAGAGAAGAGTTGGTCGACCAACACCTGCTGTGACCTCGCATCCATCACCACCAAGTGCGTAGGGTACCTACTATTGCAATATGGTGCAGAGCTCGAACCCACCAGATATTTCGAACCAGTAGGTCTATGATAGGCCTCACTATCTTTCAAATTCATCTCGTTCTCCAGAGCCTCTCGCCAACCTCCAATCTTTTGCTCAGTCTGCAACGCTCCAGGGAACACTTCAATACTAAGGGACGTCACTAGCCCATGGGCACGCTCCAGGCGTTCCCGTGATTCTATGGAGCTCGTCATACTGCAAAATTCCAAGGCAGTGATCAAGTTCACTTCCGTTACTCCGCAATCAACTCCATTCCGCAATCAACTCCGCAATCAACTCCATTCCACTCTTGTCCGACATGCCCAACCTCCCATACAATTGAGCCAGTTGGCGATGCTGCTCACTCAGCGTATTCAGGCAATGCCCCGAGTTGCACATATGTCCGTTCATTCCACTTCTGTGGGCTAGACAAGTGCCCTGTCTCAACCAATCACCGGAAGGATTTCCCTCGGCTGGCTCCGTGGACGGTCCGCTCTTCTGCTTCATTGTTTTCAGGGCCAGGATGGTGTATCATGGCCAAATCGTATAGACTCGCGTCATCATCCAAGTCCAATGTGACATCGAATGTGTCCAATGTGAAGTCCAATTTGTCCCAGATTAAACCGGCGTTTGGATGTGGACACCAGGAAGGCTTCATGAGCTCCCACTTGGTTACTAATTGGTCTTCAAGGGACCGTCCCAAGAACCACAATCAAAGCTCACTTGCCCCTTTAGCTCGGGAACCGATGGTTCGTTGTGGTCAAACCTCCCAATAGCATAGGGGGTATCAGGTTCTCTTTTTCTCCCCCGGCCAG